TAACCCGACCGACCCATTCAAATTATCCTCGGGTGGATTTTTTTTTTCTGACAAATGGCAAAACTTCGTTTGATCAATCAGCTGATTCCATTTAAATAGCTTGTAGCTTAATTTGAGACATAAAATATGTCGACTTAGTGTACATTTACCTTAAATATAAAGAGTAATCATTATTGTAACAACAGTTTCCCCCTACAACTTTCTGAAGTTTGTTTTCTGCCGCTTGGCAGCCATTTTGGATGCCATATTGGGTGTCCACTGTAAATATAACACCTGGTATTTTCGGTCCGGGGATGTTTGACCATTCATAAGCAAAAAAAAAAAAAAAAAAAAAAAAAAGAATTTCCGACCTACCGACCCTTGATTTTTTGGGAATGTTACAGGAAACAAACTTTTTTTTTTTTTAAGCCTTATGGCATATTGATTCAAAAGTGAAGAATCATGAATAATAGATGACACGAATAATAGTTTGTTTACAGCATCTTTCTGAAATTAGAGTTATTGAACATTTATGCTGGGGGTAAATGCCACGTACCATATATTGAAAATATAAATTTTAAGTTCAATATTTACACCTTCTTATCAATATAATTTTCTTAATGTCCAAAAACGTTTTGCATTGGGATAGAAAGGGTTCGCAAGTTATTTTAAAATGTCCTGCAAAATCTGTATATTTTGAAATAATGTCATGAAATGTGTTTGTCCTACAGATGTCCGCTGATAGAGAGGGCAGTTCGTCGTCTTCCGACAGTAGTTCTTCAGAATCCACAGACGACCAAGAAAAGAAGGAAGAAAAGAACTGATGGAACAAACTGACTGTGTGTGTGAATGTGTGGAGTGAAAGTTAGACTGTGACAGGGGGCCAGTGTGGGGGGTCACCACCCCAATCAGGCCCACCCCCAGCGGGGGGATCAACTTCTCATTGCTCCCAGAGTAACAATCAAGTGCATTCATCTCTCTAGCTCACCGAGCTCTCATCAAGTCATCAATGAAATGGATGCCAGTAACAAACTTCCAAAATCTGATTGGTCACAATTTGGTAACCAATCATGAAAAGTATATGAGCTAGAGACAAATATAAAGCAATCAGAATTTTGAATAATTTTTTTTTTGAAACCTAAATTAATGGCATTCTATTCAGCTTTGACATTTGTTAACATTTTAACTTCAAGATTCATATGTTTGTTTTTGTTCATAGTTATTTTATTTCATATTCTGTGTAGAAACTGCATGTATACATGTAAATATAATTATGTGATATTAAATTATGAAAAGACTCTTTTTAATCGTGTTTTCCCTACATGTACTTGTGTCATTCTGCATCAGTATTGTTACTCTAAAGTCATGGTCGTGTTAAAGTCTTATTTATTAATTTTATTTTTAATATCAACATATGATTAGACACCATGTTAAGTCTAGTGAAATTGAGACAGGTGTGCTACCAACTAAGCTCTCTGTTTGGCACTTGATATGGGGGAATTCAAGATTGTAGAAACCAAATGTGTCAGTGTGATATGAACATAAAAAGGCTCTCACTATCTGTATCAGATAAACAACTGTAGAATATTTGAAATTGCATGTACATTCTGTATGTGAAATAGGGTAGAAACAAGACAAAATTAGAATGCTCATGTTTTCTGGTATTGGCTGATAATACCAGCCTTTACTGGAGTAAATATTGTGATCAAGCAACAATGAACACATTCATTAGGGAAAGTTTTAGGCCAAAAAAACTTAATCAATAGTTCCTCAGGCAAAAAAAAAATCAGAATTCAATGCGGCAGGCAGGCTTTTTTTTTCGAAGCAGGTTTAACACCTTTTTTAAGCCATTTGTTCAATAAAATGATAATATCTACCAATTTTTAATTTTTGTTCCCTGAAATTGGTTGTATTATGTATTCAACTTAAAATAATGTTACTCCAAACATTTATTTAAAAGTTAATTTATAAAATACTGAAAAATTAGAAGAAATGTATTGTTTTTTTAATAAAAACGTCTATCTTAGCATTTATGAAAAGGGGAATAACTCGATTTTCTTTTTCAACTTGGAATTTTAAATAGAAAAACTATTGATTAATTTTATTTGGCCTTAAACAAACGGGATATGTTTTCTCAATCTAAGGGCAATAACTCATAAACATGAAAGTTGAATCCCCTTAGATCAATGTGATGCTACATACCAAGGATCAAATCAAATTTCATTGATAAGTTCAACTCTTCTGATTAATATACATCAACACACAAACAATTTAGTGTTGATTATTCCAGTCAGATCTGTGACCAGGAGGAATTAAGAGTATTTTGTGATCTCATTTTAACAGGTGTTAAGTAGGTTTTTAAGTGGGTTTAGGTGCATGTTCATCTAGATTAAATTCACATGGATATAAACAGAGCAATACTTACTATTAATTTCTCTCAACCATTCAAAAGATCATAAAGAAACAATATTTCATAATTTTATTGCATTCATGAATCTATAAAAAAAAAAATGCAAAACACAATCATGCACAACATAATTTACTGAAGCAAACACCGACATGCATCCAGCCAAGAAAACTACAACTACTAACTCAATTTCAAATGGCACCTTGCTCATGTCTCCCATTAGCCAAGCGGCTCATATATCATTATAAAAAGACAAATGTTATAATATTCGTTGATGTTGTGTAAGGGAGAATTTCAACTCCAAACATAATTATAAAATCACATTATTTCAGAAATATTTTAAAGTAGAAGAATGTATTGTTTATTTTACAAAACTGTAATACATGCTTCCTTCAATGCTGAATAAGCTACATTGTATTTATTGGGGGGGGGGGGGGGGTAAAATAACTTAAGGTAGTCCGATCCTCAGGTTCATAAAATTAGCAGTTAAGTAATCGAAAATACTCATAAAAATATCTCTGAATCCACAAAGTAATGTAACTTTACCCACATATTTCTTTAAAGTTAAACATTAAAGTTAATCATATTATATAGAGAAAACTGCCAGATCTCCAATATATATTCAAAAAAAGCGAATAGGAATATCAGATAAGCATTTTCTAATTGCAAATTGATCAACAAATATATTTTTGGTTAAAAAACAATAGGTACCCAGGCATTTAGAGAAACTGTCATGATTTGTTATACTTATTTTGTATTCTATGAGCACTATTTCCTTCATTTATTATAGAATACATAGTGTAAACAGCTTTTACTATAATTGCAAGACATCACAAATCACTTCTAATTTCATACCATGCAAATAAGCATTGGTATCTAAGGCTCAATTCAAGAAAATCTCATTTCTCTAAAACTGTATTTATTTTTTTCCATTCATAGGGTACAAATGTGAACTTTTTATAAGACCTTTTCTAAGACTTCCAAAAACCTTGAATCATATAAAGGTGAATAAAGTGAAAATTATTGCATGAAAAATTTTTATTTTCAAGTTTCATTTTGATGCATTTTAAATTAAATATTAATTTTTGGAGTTATCCTTCCTGGCTGAGGATCGGATATCCTTAAACTTGACCTTGTTAAAAAAGGATGTATAAATTATACACTAAACTTGTCAAATAAGAATATCACTAGTTCCTTAGGAATTTCCCAGCAACATTGTTGATATGATTTCATAACTTACCGGAATGTTACAACTGGATGTATTGCAAGGGACTAAAAATTTCTTGGGCAATATTTACCCAGATTACATAAATTTTACAGTAGACACGGTGTATCAAACAGACTTATTTTTGATCACTTGTAATGTCTGTACATGTACTGCATGTGTTGTAGATGCATGCTCCCAAAGCAAGCTTAAGCTTTTCCATAAATTGTGTTAACAACAATTGTTGTTCATTAAAACACAAATTTAAAGGTTCTGAACATTCTGTCATGGACTTGTCACGTTTAATATTGTTTCCTAGTCCGTTGTGGTAGAATTCCCTCCTGTGCGTATTTAAAGAATGACAGAAGTCCGTATTTCTTCCCCTTCCTCTTGAAGTAATTACTGACAACGTCGCTCTCTTCTGACGTACTCACTCGCGTTCCTGTTGTCATTGGTAACACATTCTCATTGGCTGAGAGAGAGATAAAGAAGGCAAACGGTACAAGCCACAGGCAAATAGTAAAGTATGCCAGTACCTGAAATGAGGCAGAGTACATATTGTTACTACAAACAAAAGACAAAAATTCACATATGAGAAAATGAATTAGCAGCTTATTGATCATTTTTAATGAAGATTAAAAAGTATTTTGTGATAAATTACTCAAAACACATCAAAACGCACTCCTTTTTGAAATATATTTAAAATAATATGGGAGGTTATTAAAGAGATTCTGGACAAATGTAAATCAGGTTTTATTTGCGAGAACTATATTTTATATAACTATAAAACTTCTCTTGTTTGCTCATATATATAAGTTAAGATTATAAAGCATCAAAATTTAATTTGCTTATTAAAACCAAATGACAATCTCTCAGATCTAAGGTCTCATTAATAGATGTGAAGATCTACAATACAGGTGATCAAATACACTGTGATGTCATTTGTATTTTATGATATTTCGGCAACTTTTTTTTGGGGTATCAATTAAGCTAAGATTATCAGCACTCTCTAGACTTTCAGCATTTTCATTGTAAATTTTGTATTAATTTCAGCACATCAGTCCACAAACTTTTTGATAACCCCTTGTTTATTAGTACTTACATCTGAGAATGGATGCCACACTGTGGAGAAGTATGAAAATGCGAAATAATGATTGACGACCACCAAGGCTGAAAAAGAAAATCACAAATGCATGTAGTAAAACACACTAAGAGATATTTTGCTTGAAGTCTTTTTTTTTTTTTTAACTGACTGCTTTCGATCTGAAAGACAATAGATGTACATGAAAATTCTTTACTGTTAGCCCCCCCCCCCCCCCCCCCCCCCAAAAAAAAATCCCTTTATGAATGATAAAAAAATGTGTTACTGGTGAACCTTCTTGGTTCTTCCAGAAATGCAATGCTAGTGTACGTAATTTTGCCAAACCTATCATGTTTATATGAATAAGTCTCACAGGAATAAATATAAATATGTTAATATCTTTTTTTTATTTAGGTAATTACACAGTTGTGTCAGTCACTCAGTCCCAAGAAAATTTGCATAAATTGGTTTTACTGCACAGGTATTTTATATGCAATTTCCAACAGTTTACTAGTATGTACATGAAGAAAGACATTTACTTGTTTAAGTTACTCACCTATGGAGAACAGAAATGATGGAGACATGAGTTCAAAGTACGGGAAAGTTTGCAGAACAAAGAAGTAGGCGATGTTACCCACTAAACCTAACACAATCATGTACAGGGGTAGATCCTCGAACAGGAGCAGGCCAAGAAATATCACAGTCGTGCCCTGCAACAGATTAAAAAGGTGTGTCTGATAAACGATGTGTTGCTCCAAATTTGCCATCTAATTTAAGTTCTAAAATGGTTTCATATCACAACCGTAAATGATATGCATAATATTCCTCAGCAAGGACCTATTTACTGACTTTAATATCTTAAAGTTTTTTGACAAAGTAAAATATTTTAAATAAATTAGAATAACGATTAAGTTGAATTTAAATAATCCATATGATATATAAATATTTCATCAAAAATTTAATTAACTAGCCAAATGAACTAAAATCAAATCTTCTTTGAGTCTCAGTTTCACCATGTTCATGTAACCCATCAAAGTTTTAATCCTGCAATGACCATTTTGCACCATGGAAAACTCTATAGTTTATCCTAAACTGTAACGGTGTAACCTGTGAATAATATACTCTAAGTTTATAAATCTCATCATGTAAGCATACACAACAATTACTTACTATCAACATATATTTTATTATCTTTGCTGTGAGTACGGTGTATTCTTCTACAATTTCTGCCAGATAAAACAATCCAGCCGCTGCAAAATTTCAGGTTTAATTAATTAATTCAATCAATTTAATGGAGATATATAAAGAAATTAAAATATCAAGGATTTTAAAAACAGATTCAAGAAAAGCAATTTCTTTTATATTTAGGCTATAACAAAATCAGTTAACGTTACGTGTATTTTTTTTTTCGAGGAAATTCGAACGTATAAAGGATTTATCGTGAATCAAAATCTGGCCTACTTACCCACGGATAAAGTTATTACACATATTTGTATAACTAATGCGATCCAGCTCAATAGGTACATGAACCACATGATGAATTAATCATACAGAGAACCAGGGATGCGAATATTACGTTTCAGATTCAGAGGCCGGGTGGATTCCCGATTTATCTCCCCCTTACCAATATTGTCAAGTTGTACATCGATGTGTCGGATATACAACAGTCTATTGTTTATATGGTTGGTAGTTCATTCAAGGAGCAGGGGACAGTTTCATTTTTAGTCATTTTCATCAATTTTACTTTGAATTTTCATGTACATACTAAAATAATAATGTAATTATATCTGGTAACATTCCCATGTCACTGGCTTTATTCGAAGAACCTCTATTTTTTTGTACTCAATGAGGATTTTGTACATGTTGCAGTTTGCTAATTTAATTTTCATTTTTAAGATTATTTACATTTCTTAGGGACGTATTTAAGTACGCACATCTTATAAATGAATATATAAATAATAATTAATCAATAAATTAGGCCTAATTTATTTATTTGTTTGTTTATAAAAGGAAAAGAAAAGAAGTTGATTGATTCTTTACTTGAAATAGCAGTAAAAAATTCATGAAATGCTCTACCAAGCGTTGAATTCTTATTATTATTACAAAATGTTAACCTCTGTACATAGTGTAAGAGAGATATATCTGTCATACTGTGTTGCAGCATATTCTTGAAGTGGTATATATCAGATGTGGATTCAAAAACTCCCAAATAACTTCTAAAAAATTCAAAATCACTCAATTTTCCAAAGAAAACAATCATTTCTCGCGATAAAAGAAACCACTACCCTGGCTGCGCTTTTTGATTTCAATAAAGATAGAAGTCTGAGATCGGGGTAGTTGGAATTCCCATGGGAACCACTTGTGCTCATTTATTGACCAGTTTGTTTTATATTCTTATGATGCATAGAAGGCAGCATTAAAAAATCGTTTACAGGATAAGAAAAGAAAATACTTCATGTGGCCTTCAACTCGATATTCAGGTATATCTAGGAGACGGATTTATCAATTTTTTTTCAATTCATATGTCAACTCGATATATCTCAGTGGGCTTGAAACAAAGATACTAGTACCAAAAACACTGACACAATGCAAATATTTCATATTTGGGTATTTTACTAGAAAAAGGCATAAATTGTAATCTAACAACAATGCTTTAAATACTAAACGTGGCTATGGTGACTTCAACTTTTTCAATCAATTTCTTACAAGTTGATGTAGCAAGTAATATGCCCTTATCACCTGCATATATACGGGGTTTATCTTTATGTTGAGTTGAATATGATCGATACACAACTGTATGCTCTATCTACGAAAAAACTCTAAAACGAGGATAGCTATTGACAAACCATTGGATGGAATTACATTATGAAGAGTATCGTTTATGGTCACAATTTCTAAAGTTCTATCGTGTTCGATAAAATGTCCTTGTCAGCAAGTTCTAAATCATTTAATCATTAAGAAAAAATCAGACTGCGTAGGTTTTTGTATTTGTATTGTTTGAATGACCTAATTTAAGCTTGATAAGCTGTGATTAAAGCTGAAGAACACTAGCATTTTGATTTTATATAAAATTTTAGTCTTTGACCATAACGCTAATTAATGCGTAATTGCAAATATGATCTTGTAATGCAAATATCATGCAATTGACGACACAAGGTTGGGGAAAAGACTTTCTCCTTTTTCCAACATTGGACAACCAACTACCTTTCACTCCCCAATTCTAGACATGCGACTACTCTATGACCAACTTGTTACCTGTATGTTTTCTCCACTTTCTAACCCTTCATTGTCGTCTATACAGTCCAATTAACCCTATTTTTTGACGCATGGCAGAAAATTCAACTCAAACAAGTTAACTGATCTGTAGAGACGACAATAGAGGGTCAGGAGATGGATAACACATAGAGGTCGGCTTAAAAGAGTATGTCTTGTATTAGGGAATGGAGGTTATTTAAGGAAGTTCCAATATTGGTTGTACAATGCTAAAAAGTATAGGAATACATCCCCAATCTTGTGCAGAAAATCTTGCGCAGTAAATGGCACCGCATTTGCATTATATACAGGATCTGTACGTGATGTACATTTCTGATTGATTGATTGATTGTATGTTGTTAAACGTCCCTCTCGAGAATTTTTCACTCATATGGATACGCCACCACTTGCCGGTGGAGGGCTACAAATTTTGTCCTATGCTCAGCTCTTAAGGCCTTTGAGCAGTGAGGGATCTTTTTCGTGCCAGCACCTACTGCGGCACGGGACCGTTGTCCGAGGGACCGGTCTCCACGCCGCACAGTGGGATTCGAACCCGCGACGTAAGGATTGACTCCTTACTTCGCGACTCTAGAGCAGACGCTCTAACCACTGCGCCACTGCAAGTAGCTTGAAGACTTGTTTTCTCCATATTTTATTGTATGACTTATTAACCCTCTTTTTGGTCAGATGGCAGAAAATTCAAATCAAACGAGTTCACTGGTCTGTTGAGACGACAATAAAGGGTCAGGAGATGGATTACATATAGTGAATGGTTTTAAAAATATGTTTTGTATTTTTGGAGACGACAAGAGTCAGGAGATGGATAACACAAAGTGGATGTTTAAAAGGTATGTCTTGTATTAGGGAATAAAGGTTATAAAATCAAGTTGCAATTAGTTGTCCAGTGCTAAAAAGTGGAGAAATACGTCCCCAACATTGCGCAAAAAATCTTGCAAACCTTGCGCAGTAACATGTAACAGGATATTTGCATCAAGGGAACTGTACATTCTTGTTAAAGACAAATACATTTATTCCTTCAACTAGCTTTAAAGCTGTTGTTGATTTCCTTCTTTTATTGCATGGCCTCATGTTGAAAGTTTAGACATCAGTTGCATAAAAAATGAATAAAAGAATAATTTATATGCAAGATTTCTCAAAATCCCAACAATTTTATACCTTTTCTCTTTTGCATGAAATGAGAAGAAAATAAACAATATCCAAATTGTGAAAAGAGCAAACACAGTTTCCCTGTTACTCTTATTCGAGTATTTAGACAATTAATATTTATTGAAAAATTTCCCATTTCAAGTAGCTATGAATTTCATTGAATCTATGGATGGAATTCCTAAAACGGAAATTTGTATCTTCCTGATATCATACGATGTTAGCGGGCAAAATATCGGCGTTTCAAAGATACAAATTTTCTTTATATAAAATAGCTCTCAGACAAGAGAAGGAATTATTAGGAAAACCTGATTATACACTTCCTATCTGTAAGCATTCAGTTTAATATAGTTTCTAAAGAGTTCCATCCTTATAGAAAAAGAATTTTAATTTTCCCGTAGGTCACATGCCTATTTCCGCCTTTTTGTGAGCAAGGACACAAAATTGTCCGCACTGTAAAAAAAAAAAATAATGAGTAAAACAAAAATGAAAAAAAATAACCCACCCTATCTTTTTCCTTTAAATAACTGAAATTTCATTCTTCTACATTAATATCATTTTCACCTTCCAAGACACCAGTTCATATCGGAGAAGTAATTTTGATTTAACTTTGACTTCCAGGGACACAAAGGTAGAAATGACAGGTATGAAAAGATTTTTTTCAGGTAGCTTAGATGTTTTGATTTTGTTGATTGTAGGATCTATCTTTTCAACCAAAAACAAAAACAAAAAAAAAAAACAAACAAGAAAAAAAAAAAAAAAGAAAGAAAGAAAAGAAAAAAAATGTTTATATAATTTTAACATAATCTTAAACGGAATTAAAAAAAATCTTTTACATGAAAAGAAGATTAGTTCACTTGCTTGGGTCTTCAACTTCAATAGATACATGTGTATTGACGAAATTTTATCAATTAACAATACATTTATACGTCGACTCAACATATCCTAATGAACTTGAAATAAAAGAATACCACAGAGTCTAAAAAATCTGTTTGTAATTTGGATGTGGATGATTTATTACCAATGAATATATGGGGAACAATATTCATTATATTGACAAGGAATAAACAGCGGGTGTGACCGGTCACCTCTGACGTTCTGGAGACCCGTGTTTGCTCTGCTCCTGTTTTGTATTGTTTTGTGGACCTTTGATATTGAATACTGTTCGTTATCTCCGTATGTTTCATGATGACTAAAGTTGATTAATTCAACGAAAGTCATTTTTCAATTTCATTTATATTCAGTAATTTAATTTTAAAGATACGTAATTTTTTCTTCAGATTTTTTTCCCGGTCATGACAAGGATCACACGACGGATGTGACCGGTCGGCAGGTATGCTCACTCCTCCAAGGCACCTGATCCCACCTGATGTTTTAGAGGTCTGTGTTTGCTCTGCTCCAAATGTTGAATTGTTGAATGGACTTTAGAGTTTGAATTTTTTTTATGATCTCCATATATTTCATTCAAGTTTAAATGTCTACTAGTAGTATAAGGCGCCTGGTTGGGTGGGTCAACTGAGTGCACTTTTTGGGCTGTGGGGGATAGGTGGGTCAACTGAGTGCAGCTCCTGGGGGGGATAGGTGGGTCAACTGAGTGCAGCTCCTGGGGGGGATATGTGGGTCAACTGAGTGCAGCCCCTGGGGGATAGCCTGGTCAATAGAGTGCAGATTAGGGGGTCTGTGGGGGATAGCCGGGTCAATTCAGTACATATAATCCCCCTAAATACGGGGGTGTGTTTACACTGTGTTTACATTATACACTATACGCTGCTGCTACTATGATTTTGTCAGCGACTTTTATACCTGTTGCATCATCTGTAAGGGCCCTGTGCAAAAAATACGATAGACCTACGTTTTTTTATGCTGACTACACAGGTAAATACTTGGCAGCGATTCAAGTTTGTTTAGGGCCGTGTGCAAAAAAAAAATGCTTACCTATGCATTGTGACGTCATCCACTGTATAAATACGGCTTTTCTCCTACTTTCAGCTCATTCTACAGTCAGAGCCAGCTCCCTGCCTGTGGGGGGTCATGGATTCTACTAGAGAAAAACAGTTACATGCTCAGCGATTATTAGAATGGAAAAAAAGGGAAAGAGAATTAGATCGAATTCTTTATGAGAAAAGAGAGCAAGAGTTAAAGCTCCGGGAAAAAAATGCTAAAATATTACAGAGAAGAGCTCAATTAGAACAACAACGACAACAACAACTACAACGACAACGACAACTACG